AAATACTCTCTTTATATTTCTGTCGCGAAACTGTTCCGCAAGCGTGACCACTATGAGCTACGTTTTATTCCTTAGGTGAGTAGACGACCGCTCACCTGGTGATAAATGACTACCGGAGCCCAAAGACATCTACAACGTAAATGTAAGTACCCACCTTGAGAAATGAGTTCGAAGTATCAGTGCTATAGTACAATGGCTGCTCAACCCTTTAAACTGAAGCATACTGCATCACGGCAGAGATAGGACACTAAATATGCAAGCAATATTTTTATGGGTTTGATTTTGAATAGACGATATTTTTCTTCATCGTCGTGGAAGTTATTAGTGAACATGTGTTGAGTATTTATTTCATACAAAATTTGGTACTCGTCTGCGGGATACAAATACCGGCACAGTCGCAACTCGCGATACGAATGCACCGTACGTCTTATCCTTTTATGCAACGACAATTCTCAGTGGCTCGCAATTCGGATCCAGTGGTAGACTCTGCGAAGCACTACTCTTGGGCTAGTATTAGCAAATTCTCTCAGGTCGAGCCCGTGAGCTCACCTACCCGTACGGGCGTAGCTGAAATAGCCGCTTAGGCTACCAGCGAATAGGAAGGGAAAAAAACCCACGACGCTTTAATTATAATCCACCTGCGCATTCTGGCTAGTTGAAATGTGCCTAAGACCTTATTCGACGAGGTAAATTTTCGCGGTACGTTTTTACGGTCTTCGATAATCAAATTTCACTGGAATTAAATCTCTAAAATTCACAAGTCAGGCAACAACAGAAACAATTCTATCAAAATATATATGTAATATTATTACTGGTGGTAGGACCTCTTGTGAGTCCGCGAGGGTGGGTACCACTGCCCTGCCTATTGATGCCGTGAAGCAGTAATGCGTTTTCGGTTTGAAGGGTGGGGCAGCCGTTGTAACTATACTGAGACCTTAGAACATATCTCAAGGTGGGTGGCGCATTTACGTTGTGGATGTCTATGGGCTCCGGTAACCACTTAACACCAGGTGGACTGTGAGCTCGTCCACCGATCTAAGCAATAAAAAAAAATAACCTCTATAATAATATGAATTATGACATAAATCTTAAAAGAGGTTATAATAAGTTATACAGTTGACATAAATGGTATTTTGAATATTGAAACATTAGAAGAAGAAACATTAAGAACATTTTGAATACCGAAACATATCAAACATAAAAAAACTGGTGAAGCATTAGTTTAAACGTTGTTTTACGATGTACTAGCTGTACCCGTCCGCTTCGCTGGGCATTTAAAATTAACATTATTATTTCTCACCCCCACAAACAATCTCATCATTAACGCCCCCGCAACTGGTGTAGGGAGTCCAACACTCATATAAATATTAGCCTATCCATTAAGTACATGACATGTATTTTCTACATGGATACTAATTTTCAAGTCAATTGTATGCATGGTTCAGTGGTTATAACGAAACATTCGTAAAAACCACTGTACATTTGTATATTGATATTGATTATTTTATGGACCATTAAAAAATTTTTGCCCAGTAAAACTATAGCACAAACTAAGTTGCTCTGAAAAGAGAAACAACATTTAAGCTAACCAATTTTTATGTTTCATATTTTTCGATATTCAAAATGTTTCAATGTTTCTAATGTTTCTTTTTCGAATGTTTCAATATTCAAAATACCAATTATGTCACCCGTATAATTTATTATAACCTCTTTTAAGATTGATGTCATAAATCATATAGAGGTTACATTAAAATCAATCCTCCGGTTGGAGAATGTAAACTAACAAGAATACCTCAATTGTATTGCACCGCTAACGATATTCATATAACTATGAATAGTTGATTTCCGTTCACACTACTCGAACACTCATACATTCGGGTATTGACGATCGAGTCGAGATCGTTTCCTTACAAATCATTGATTTCGCACCCAGACCCATTTTTTATTCAGCACCCCATCGCGGAAATCCCTGCTACATCATTATTTCCGAACAGACAAACTAAAACGACCTCTACAGCCAAGCAGATATAGCTTAAAATCGTCTAATCAAACTTTTATACTCAGGTGTATTCAGTGAAAAGGAATGAAAATTAAGTCATGTCTGCAGCGCACGTGTCTACTCTTTGAGAGTTCAATACTGAGTTAAAAAGCTTTAATTTAGTTCGTGTCAAGGGTTATATCCAATTCGAATCTGAATAGAATCAATAGTGTTATAGTCAGTCTTTTGTAGATAACGAATCAATATGATTTTTTTTTTTAAATAACACCCACACATACCCAATTTCAATATAGGGATCCGCAACGTTTCTCTGATGTTGTTTTAAAATATCTTGGTTTTCAGACCAAACTATCATGAGTGTGTTCGTAGCGGTTGATGGCATTTTTAAGCTATTGCATAGCTTTTATCGCGGGCCTTGAGCACGGCGACCGAATCATGAAATTCCGTAACGAAAAAAAACCTAACACCACTCATTCCGCCTACCATGTAGCTCACGTTCAACACATTCACACGTTGCGCTTGTGTAGTGTTTGTGAATAAGCGCGTGGCGTGACGTCACACTGCATGCGCATCATGAAAAGCTTGCCTATCTCTCTCTCGCGCGGTCTAGCTTATGAGTGTGAAGGGGACAGTTCAGATTTTGCTTTTATTAATGTTTAATATAGCGTGGTCTTGTTTTATTATTGTTTTAATATTAAATTATCATCGTCTAATTATAGTTGCATAAGTTGATAAAAAATGCTATGCAATAGCTTTACAGCGGCAGTTCCCAAGTGCCACACGTTTGTTTATCAGATTTATGGCCGTGCATTACTTGGCATGTGATAATGACGAAATTGTAAAATTTATAAACGTTACTGTTGGCTAAAATTTCTCGATTCATTTTAAATAACTGCTTTAAGTACGTGCAGTTGGTTTTCAGTATTATACTTTACATATACGTTGAATACCATCAAATCAAAATATCCGTCACATACACAATATCTAACACATACACATATCTATAAAATATATGAATAAAATATATAAATGCTACCTGTCATTACCTACGGTCAGTTGATTTTGTACATAGATGCAATATACGATATAGATAAAATATGAACATACTCTCTACAGTGGTATGGAAAAATAATTTATAATATGTTAAATATATTAACTAGTAGTGCTAATTAGAACCAGAGTTAGGAGTTAACTATTCGAAACGCAATGAAGTGGGAAGTACCAAATATTATGGATTTAGATGCTAGTATTGTAATATAATATATTGTTATAATAATATTACCTACAAATAAGGAAAATATAATATAATGTACGTATTAACATATAACGCAAAAAAATGTGTTGCAAGTATTTTGACGCTTTGTTTCAAATTTAGAACTTTTTTAATGGTAACGCCATTTTGGTTTCTTAATTTGATTAAAACTTTTACTACACAGAGAAAGTCCTTCGAGAGAGATATATAACTTAGCAAATGAAAAGAAAATAAATTTTAGACCCAATCCGGTATGCTTTGGCAAGTCTCTTAAAAGAATATTTTACTATTTTATGACGCAATTATATCATTAGTATACCGTGGAAGTCGCTTACGAGGAAGGGTTCGACGAGTAAATTAACCAACTGACTCGCCGGATCTTCTCAGTGGGTCGCTTTTCAGATCCGGTGGTAGATTCTGCAAAGCACTGCTATTGATAGGGTGAGTGTTAGCAATGTCATTAGGTTTGAGACCCGTGAGCTCAACTAGTCGTTAGGTTACCCTGGCATAGCCTACCAAGGCTACTAGCTTAGGTAGGAAAAAAGAAAAGAAAAGGAATAAATAACTTGTTTCAATATTGCTTATAAGTTTTTTTATTACGTAGGATGGAGGTTACATACCTCATAGTAATAAATATAAAACTAATACTAACTAATGTGGTATGGTTATAATAATAATTAAATGAATGTTATTAATGATCATTATAGTCACGTCTATAATTGCACTGACCATAACCTAATCACCTCTCGTAAATAATAAAATAAGTTGAAAATTTGTACATGAAAATTATGTAAATAAAGTGAAACAACGTGATTCTAATGAAAACGCTATTAATATACAGCATTAACCCATTATTAGCAAGCATTAATCTATTATGTATGTATAAATATTTATTTCTAAGTTTAAATATTTGATAATGCCGATAGTAATGTTTACGTTCGTGTTTCAAAGTATTATTGACCTGGTTGTGACCATAGATACTCTTAAAGTATGTGACAGATTGATTTCAGTGTTGCCCATTATAATATTTAATACCTTATAAAAAGTTTCATAGTGTGACCAGACCAAATTAAGTTGTTCACAGTTTGAGTGTCCCTAACGCAAATTCACGATCATTTCCTTCTGTTATCGTTAATTTAGGCAATTTGATAAGAGATACTAAAAATTGGTTTTAAATAAATTCTTTACTGCATTAATACGTTAGATAAAACGTCACCAGCGAGAATTCTCATCATGTCAGAGCAGCATTACCATACAAAGGCCGTTCTGTCTGTCACCGAGCATAAATCTTGTTCAGGTGACAGCCATCCACGTGTAACACCCTCTTTCGTCTCTGAATACAAATTATAATGAACATGGCGAGCGGGATTTTTGTCTGTTTGACGCACTTGCGTTCGAAAATTGCGATTTTTGTTTTTTTTTAAGTGAAACTTCTTTTGAATCGTTGTAATTTCAAACTCGATGAAACGAAATGAACGAAACGAAAAAATAAGTGTGCCGCGATTGGCTTGCCGAAACAACTGCGAGCGGCGCCGACAAATCACGAAGCGTTCCACACGGTCTCGCGTCCCCGACTAGTTCAGTGTGTTTTTGACGTCCGTGCACACTGTCGTGGCTCTCGGAGCGCCCTGAGATACTTTTATTTCTATTTAGTTTGTTATCAACAGATGTCGCTGCACGTAAATTCAACAATTCCTGAATCGCGGTGACGAGATGTTACACAGTTTCTCGTATTTCTCTTGCTCAATCATCCTTACATGGTATAGGGATACCGTGATCATGCAGGCGTTTTCCCCAGGGTGAGGCTGGTCCATTGCACTGCGGAGTGGTTGATCCGTGTGATTTCTACCGTATGTGACTTGCACACACACACACATTTTTTTATTGCTTAGATGGGTTGGATGAGCCCACCTGGTGTTAAGTGGTTACTGGAGCCCATAAACATCTACGACGTAAATGCGCCACCCAACTTGAGATATAAGTTCTAAGGTCTCAAGTATAGTTACAACGGCTGCCCCACCCTTCAAACCTGAACGCGTTACTGCTTCACGACAGTAATAGGCAGGGCGGTGGTACCTATCCGTGCGGACTCACAAGAGGTCTTACCACCAGTGTAATTACGCAAATTATAATTTTGCGGATTTCATTTTTATTACACGATGTTATTCCTTCACCGTGGAAGTCAATCGTGACCATTTGTCGAGTACGTATTTCGTTAGAAAAATTGGTACCCGCCTGTGGGATTCGAACACCGGTACATCGCTCAACACGAATGCACCAGACGCCTTTATCTTTTAGGCTACGACGACTTCTAAAAGAAGAATCCAAAAGGATGTCTAGAGCAGTAGCTCTTTTAAAAAAATTAACTCAATGATCTTTCCATGTTATCTTTGAACTAAATTAAAATTGTCGAAACTAACGACGCCACCGTTTTAAAATCCAGTGCGTATTATGGTTGATGCTTATTTTGAGGAAGGAAAATATTATATACTAATGAAAGTGACACACGTTGCATATAAATTAGTTTGAGGATTTAGTATTAATTTAAAATTTGCTCTGCCTTTATTTGTTTTGTAAATTAGGAAAAAAACCGTCTTTACGAACACATTTTTATCACTAGTTTGTAATAAATTTAATTCATTATGTCTGAGACAGCGCACGATGAGCGTTTCTCGAACACAGACAAACAAGACTATCCATACATTTCTACAAAATTGGATACAATATTTTTAGAAAAATAAAGAGAAAAAGAGGAAGATCTAGAAGCAGACGGGCTGACGGCATTGTAGGGACGGCTGGTGAACTGTGGATGGAAGACGCCACAGATAGAGACTATTGGGTATATTTGGAGGAGGCTTTTCCCCTCAAATTGAAAGGTTTACGCTAATCTAAAATCTAAGTTTAAAACAAATCAATCAAAGTAATTAAATAAAGATAATAAAATCATAATAATAATTATTATAAAAAGATTGTGTACAATGTATTAGGTTTTATTAGGAGTGAAATAAAAGGATTTTTTATTTTATTTATTTGTTTATTTATAATAAAGTGAAAGAGCGTTTGGTGCAACGGAGCGTTTATAAAAGATGGTCTAAATTAAAACGCTTTAACTTAGGCTAAATACAGACAGAACTTAGACTGTAAATCGCACATAAGATTTGGTGTCTTGTCGTAAGATTCAAGCAGTCGCCGTTGGAACTGCCAAGGATATTCAGCAGATGATACCTGGCTTTGGCTCCGATGCCGCGGTCGATTATTACCACCGACGAACCTCTGGCCCGAATTGTCGGTTAACACTTGATTTCAGTAGGTACAAATCTAACATACCCTACTAACTTGTTTCGCAAGGTTTGTGCCTTATGTTTAGCACAACTAACTTGTTTACCCTCCTGGCATGTAGGTAAGCAGAATCCAATAATTTCTTATTTAAAGAGAACGAAGACAATACGTACATTCGTCCATGGAATATCATCATGTTTTTACTGAACTTTATAGTGTGCGCCGTTTAATACTAGTTCCTTTTAGTCATAAAATTGTACAATGGTAAATTAGATGTTTTATATGCGGCAAGTCCAGGTGGCTTGTGGTTTCCGCTCGAGCACAAAACAGTGCTTTATGGCTGCGGTCTCCCAGCCACCTTCGTTGAAGCTTACGTTTGTCTTTAACGTTTCTGTTTAGAAATAAGACTTGCGTATTGCAGTTAGTTTAATGTGATCTTTTTGAAGAAAACTATTTTTCTGTCGTGTTTCTCCTCTCATTGCTCCATGAAATATTTTATGAAAATTTCACCTCCGTATTATTTTAGAGCCGTATATATTTTTAATTTTCCCTTGTAGGCATACGAGCATCGGCACGGCCCACCTGATGGTGAGTGGTTGCCGTCGCCCATCAACAATGCCAGGGGCAGAGCAAAGCCGCTGCCTACCCCATTTCTGCTTAGAAAGACGAGAATTAATCTGTTTCTAAGAGACCTAAAATACTTAAACATTAAAAATAAAAGAAGACAAAGAAACAATAGAAATTTATATTACTTCAGTACACCACGTAGGGGATCGGTGACCTACATGGCCATCAAAGGGCTCGCAATTGCTCACGAAAGACTTCGACGATGAACGCTACAAATGAGAGAATAGAAGCAATTAATTGATGAACTACGAATATATAATATTTAGAAATAACAGCAATAGCATTATTGAAAGCGTTTAAAATACACTCTCTTCAAATACAATCGAAATGTAATTATTACGTTATTATTTCATTACAATAAATAACATACAGATGCAGCCCACACGTGTGTCTCTAATTAGCAGCAACGTCCGTTATCTTGCTTGTTACTGCTAATTGCGCTATATCAGGCATCAATCTGACACTAACTATACCAAACCCTGCTTCTAATGCTCTGTTGGCCTTATTCTGAAACTGAATTGTAGTGAACATATTATTATTTGAGCTAATCTGGATGTTCGATAGCGTTCTTATGCAAGATTAAAATGTGTCTAGTCTAGCTACGCTGGCGTTTTGGGTACATCAATCAATCAATGAGCCCTTTTGTCTTGAACTTTTAGGGCTGTTGATTTAATTGTTGTTTAATTTACAGCACGTCTTTCAGTTCAGTGTGCTTATTGACATAGGAATCCTCTAACATCTCAAGTCAATCGTGAATATTCGCTAAGTACGTATTTCATTTAAAAAAAATTTTCCCGCCTGCATGATTCGAACACCGGTGCATCACAAGATACGAATGCATCGAACGTCTTATCCTTTAGGCCACGACGACTTATGTAATTTTTGCTGTATATAGAAGAAGAGGCTCTTGATCTATCTAGTGATAGCTGGTTGTCGAAGTTAATTGACATTACAACCGAATTGCCGCCATTCAAATTGAGATATACTGTAAATATACTGAGACATTAGAACTCATATCTCAAAGGTGGGTGGTGGCATTTTCGTTGTAGATTTCTATAGGCTTCAGTAACCCTACTTAACACCAGGTGGCCTGTGACCTCGCCCACCCATCTAAGCAATAAAAAAAATACAGACATATACAATCAATTATTTTGTATACGGACGGTTCCACCACCAGAACGCAAGACTGCTTTGCGGCAGAAATAGGGGAAAATATTGGTGACGTACGGGCACACAGGATGCCCGCTCACTATATTTAAATTTCAAGATTCTCAAATATCAAAAGCACAAGCCACCGGAAATGTAATCTGATAGAGTAACCGCCCAAGGTGACGTCATCCTATTGTCCGCCTGTCATGTACAGAAACAGAGGTACAGTTTGAGAACAATGTGACTAACTATATATATATAAATAATATTTTGAGATATTGTATTTTATTCTAAAATTCTGTTGAAATAGTTTTACCCAAAATGTTCTCGTTTTTTCCATTGCTTTTTGACTTTTAACTAGTGATCCCCGAGTTGATTGATCAATGCGATTCGTTCAATTTACAAACTATGTCGATGGCTCTCGTGTCTTTCTCGAGACGAAAGCAGCATCTCGACTTTCCGTTGCAACTCGATATGTCGATGTTTAAAAATAGGCGAGCCGTATCGATAGCGTCGTCGATAAGAGATATAAGTACATTATTGAACTATCAAAAGTTTCTATTGTTGAGTGGGAGATGGAGACAATCGTGAATTTGATTGTGATTTTAAATCGATTATTAATTATTCGATTGCTTAAAATCTGAAATAAGCTATTAAGCTAATAAGCTACTTCTGGTTATGTGTGATAAATCGTGAAAATCGAACATTATCATAAATAAATGTGCCCTTTAACCCAATGGCGTGACAAATTAACCCCAATTGTAAACATTTAATTATAAATCTAGACCATATAGTTTTGACTTTAAACCCGAAATTTAATAATATAATTAATTCAGTACTGTTAAGATAAATAGATTTAATGTTTCTAAAAAATATTTTTATATACTTTGATAACGCGATTTATGACAATATTTTTATTTCGCGTCGCGTAAGCATCACGCGAGAAATGGGTCAATCTGATAACGCCTAACCAGCTCGTGAAGAACAGCATATTTGTAGTTCATCATGGCGTCATCAAACGAAATCTAGTCGTTAAATTATATCATGGTCAAAATCTAATACGCTCTAGCTCACCGGAATTAATCTGATGAAATTATTGCCTTCGGCTACGTCCGACTTATTATGAAGCCGTCAAAAATCTGACATGGGTAGAACTAATACCAAACCTGCATACGTATTCGAACAGTGAACAATATAAAACTTAAAATTCAAACGAATATTTAGAAAATACATACATCAATCTTTACTTTCCATTTTCCTGGGCTTGTGAGCAATTAATTTCCTTATATGGGTAAATACCACCATCTTGCCAATTTATGATGCATAACACAATAATGACCGTTTTACAACTGATTTTTCTTTGAAGATTTGAGGTTGAAGATTGAAAGTTTCATCAGCGCGATTTTCGGTAGCCTCTTAAAACGGTGCGGTCAATGGCCTTATACGGGGCGCCCGTGTGGGGCCAGTCCCTGGCCGTGGGGGTAGCGAAGTTGCTGCAACGGCTGCAACGCACCATCGCGGTCAGGGCCATCCGTGGTTATCGCACCATCTCTTCGAGGCGGCGTGTGTACTGGCTGGAAAGCCGCCTTGGGTCCTGGAGGCGGAGGCGCTCGCCGCTGACTATCAGTGGCGGGCTAACCTTCGTGCCCGAGACGTGGCGCGTCCCAGCCCCAGTGTGGTCAGAGCGCGAAGGGCCCAATCTCGGCGGTCCGTGCTGGAGTCATGGTCCAGGCGGCTGGCCGATCCTTCGGCTGGTCGTAGGACCGTCAAAGCGATTCGCCCGGTTCTTGTGAATTGGGTGAATCGTGACAGAGGACGCCTCACTTTCCGGCTCACGCCGGTGCTCACTGGGCACGGTTGC